CCACCCAAACCATTCTATCATTCTATGATTCACACTTGCATGCCAAGTACAAATTACTAACCCTTATGTTGTCAATGCTGAATCACAGAAAATAATTTCTGACTTGCCTGTGCATAAACTAACCTATAAATGTTTAATGCTGGAAAACTGTTAAAAGGTTACCCAGTGAGGTTCCAAATTACTTTTTAAATCACTAGTATTTTTCCTAAAATGTCTTTTGTTCATTCTTTTACATCAAAGTTTCTCCTTTTACCATTTCCTTAACAAAACTTCCCAATTCACTTTCCTACATACATAAGTAACGTCTATTTCAGCATGAGGCGATATGAAAGCTGTGAGAACATCATTCTTTAACTAAGGCAGAAATCTTTTACTCCATTTTTAAAACAGTGATTTCTTTTCTACATGAAACTGAAATTTATTAATAAATATAAGCCACTGCCAGGCAGTAGCTGTGCCAGGGCAGGACAGCTCAAGCTTAGAATAACAGGAACAGAAAGGTAATTCCAGGAGCATCCTCTTCGCATAGTTCTGGGACAAGATGACGATCTGCGGCAGCCTCCTCATAGTAGAGAAGAGAGTGCAGGTGGTGCTTGGGTTACTGTGAAACTGCTAATCTTCGGCAAAGTTAGTTGCTAAAAACTAGTTTATAACACTTCACTAAATCCTAAAGGAAAGAAGCTGCTTATAAATGCAGCTAGTGGGCTGATTAGCATAAGGCCATGAAAAGTGCCCTGTGCTGTTAAATAACAGCACAGAAAAAGATTTAAAATACCAGTTGGAAAAATAAATACTTTGCTTAACAGGAGGCTCAGCTTGCATGCATATAAGTTCAGAAAAACATCTTGCTGAAGCAGATGGCTATTTCACTTGGATCTCTTTACTACAGAGATACAGTTGCTACATAGCAAAGGATACACAAAAAATTCACAATATGTATGTACCAAATCTGCTTTATAGAAATAAATGAAATTTAAAAACCCCACCCTTACTACAACATTGTATTTAAAGATTAAACGAAAGCAACATTTCTTAGAACACCAAGCACAGAGAAATCCTGAATTATAATGCTACTTGCTAAGGAAATGAAAGATCTACGTGAATACTTTTAATAAGCCTTTGTAACCACGCTTTACAAGAACTGCGCAAACTCTCTCTCTCTCTGATACTGGCTCAATTCCTAACAGCAAAGTGTTGGAAGTAAAAATCATAGTTTGAAGGTTACGTTATTGTAAAGATTGTTTGTTATGATTTCTACCAGGAAGTGGCTCATCATGTATTGAAATTTGCTTCCCAGTGCCATAAACTGCGGTACATCATCAAAATTATGACTGGAAGTGGCAGCTGTTTTAGAGAGGTACAAGCAAATTACTAAGTGGTAAGAGTTAAAACTGTCAAAATTTCCCATGTATTCAAATCATGTTATTCATAAGTTAAAGCACCTTCAAGGATATTCTTTAGGCAAAAAAAATTACTTTCTGCTAATAACAAAATGATAAAAGCATCAGTCACATCACTTATCTTTTGGGAGCAATTCTCACCTCCAATACATACAGACAACACATCTGACTTCAAGCAAGTATTCTGCCAAGAGCAGAATCTTCTCTTTTCTCCTCCTCCTTACTTGGAGTACGTCCAATATAAAATCCTTAAGATTCATGAGCCTTACTATAAAAGTGAACTTACCGGTGCTGGATTATCTTTAGCTTCCAGACCAAAAACATTCCGTCGTTTCACTGTCAGCAAATCAAGATCTTTAGTATCATCATCGTCATCATCATCATCTTCAAAGAACTGTGTGGAGTCTGGCTTTGGAACCCTGCTTGGTACAGGAATTTCTTTTTCCTCCTCCTCCTCAGAAACCTCCTGCAATTCATCCTCAGACTCACCACTCTCCTCAGCACCTTCACTGGAAGCAGAACATTCCTCAGTCTCTCTCCTTTTCTCCTTTTCCTTTGTTTTGGTAACAGACACCTTTCCACTGAAATTAGTTCCGCATTTCTTCACTCCTTCATTGTCTGTTAAGGAGATGGTATTCTTATTTTGCTCTGTCTGCTTCAACATATCCATCCCATCAGCTGCCTCATTCGCACACATCTGTTTCTGAACTTTTTGAAGAAATCTCACTCGAGGTGCCATTGCAAGACCAAGTGATCTAAAGCACAGAATTAAACATAAATTAATCTGAAAGGTAGATACATAAAATTTGACTGAATTAGAAGCCCTCATTGATGGCTCAAGCGATTCAATTTTATTTATGGCAATTCATATTAATACTTTTTGACCAACATATTTACAAAACAGTATTTGGCCTACAACAGGACAATTTAGCTTGAAAAATGCACATGAACCTTAGGAGAGGAAGGAATATGAAATAACTGAGAACTCTAAAGCACGATTACAAATCCTCCCTTGAAAGAAATCAAAGAACCTGAAAAGCTGTAGACAAGAGCAAATTATCTATGATTCACAGTAAAATATGGCGGAAGAAACACCAATGTAATTTGGTATTGAAGATAGCCCTGATCTCTGTCAATGTCCCTCACTGCTAGAAGTGCACCCAGAACATTATCCCCATCATCTCATGGTGATGGAGAGATTAGAAGAACGAACACAGTATGGATAAGTGACTAATTGCAGAAAACACTAAGGGAGAGGAAATCTCACCTGCCTGCATCGCTCTACAACAAGGCTTTGACCTTTGCGGCATATGTAACTAGCAGTGCCAACAACACAATTATTTACTCTAACTATTCATGAAAATTCAAAGTTACACTATTACTCTACATGAAGTTTGGGCAACCTGGTCTAGTGGAGGGTGTCCCTGCCCGTAGCAGGGGGGTTGGAACTAGATGATCTTTGAGGTCCCTTCCAACCCAAACCATTCTATGATGGGGCAAAAATTAGCCAAAAAGCATAAATATCATATAGCAACAATACTGGAGAGCATTACAGGGGAACAGATATTTTGCCTCTAACAGACCATTTGACTTCAGTAAACTTTGTAATTGCCCACTATTGTAACACCTGACCTTGCCAACACCAATTAAAAAAAGCAGTATTTAATTCTCTTTCAGACTTCGTAAGTCTTCTTATTAGGTGAATAAAAATTATGGGGGGACACTGGTGCTGTGAAAGGAACACATGGAGACCACAGCTGCATTTGAAAACACACAATACAGAACTGACAGTGGTTGTGATTCTTAGGGCTCATACGTACACTTAGCAAAGTAGTTAACCAAATAAAATGGCTACGTATATACACACGAACACACACAGATATAAAAAGACCAGTCTCTTTCAATTCAGATTATGCACAGTTATGCATACACTACCTCTCCTCTCAATGCTGCCCATTTCAAGTAGCCAGCATTATGTTTTCTCTTCACCATACAGCTCTAACTAAAGAAACCTGAGTTATGGTACAGGGCAAAAATCAATTCCATAGTCCTTGATGGAAATGTCATTATACACAGTCCATGAAGCATCCAAACAGTACTGCAGAGTAGCAAGACTGGACTGTAGCCCCAGAGAGCCTTGAACTGTTAAGAGCAGCCAATGAGACAGAGTAGTAGTCAACAGGAGAGGCACCCTGCTTAAATGACCAAAAAAACCACCCAAAAAACCCCAAAACAAAACAAAAAAACCCCAAATGCAACCACACCTGTGGTTAAACAGGGCTGTTTTGGTACTGGCCACAGCTTGAAACACTGAAAGGCGGACACGCACCCAAAAAGCAGCCCACACTGTTAGGATGAGGAACAAATTTTTAATAAATAAAGCCTTAATTTAAGTGTAAAGTTAATTTTAAGTATTTCTGATAACCCAACACTGTTCTTCTACAAGCAATTAACACCAAAAGTAAAGTAAATAGAGTTTTATAAAAAAAAAGACCAAAGTAAGTTTTTATCCAGTGTATTTTGCACATGTACTGACAGCGCACTGCTGAGAGGATAACACAACACATTTGGGACCTGAAATTGGAGCAACCAGCAATCTTGTTTCAGTGTTTGACAGCTAACACTAATTACCTTTGCAATAAAACTATGTGTTACAGCTTGGCCTATTGACTAACTGAAACAAAAATAATCAAACAAAGCAGATGTAATGCTTCACTGCAGCAGCTGGAGGACATTCAAACCTGGAATTGGGCCTTAACACCAGGCATGGTAAAACACATATAAAGAGATTGCCGCAACGTCAATAAAAGTGCAATCTTTTTGGCAAGGAAATCAAAGGAGCAAAAAAAAAAATCCTTTGCATGAGTAACACTTCTTTGTTTTTGCAGATTTCACAACATTATTCTACATAAAGTATTGTTGTCAACTGTTGGCATAGTACTGCAAGTAGTAGTACTATATGGCAACTACACAATCGGTGTTCCCTTCTCCTCCTCATGCAGACAGACATAGATACAATGTACACAGGGTTGCAAACTCCAATTTTATCACAGCTTCTCTTCTATGTCTCCAGAGCTAGTATCAAAGATCAGGGTCATGGCTGCAGAGAAAAGTTTGTCAAGGTGAAGAAACTACTCTCTCCACAGGAAAAGTTAAAAAAGACAACTCAAAAGGAGCAGCCCATGATGTGGAGGAGACTTCAACACACCTTTTCTCTTTCAAATATGAAATCCCATCTGCCAGATTGCTCTTCTGCACTGATGTTTTTCTTTAATAATTGCATAAAATTAACTATCAGTTAGTGTTGGCCAATTTTTCTACACTGCTTAGCAACCCTACCAAAAGAAGTCCAGTGCTATCAGAATTCAAATGACATCTGACCCAAAAGAATACAGCCCTTACACTTGGGGGAGAGGGAAGGTGTTATGGTCGAATTTGGTGAGAAAGTAATAAAAAGATAAGTTCAAAGTTGCATGCAAACTATCCCTAAACACTTTTAATTACATAACTTCTCAAAGAAATGCCAGCATTTTGGCTCATTACTGCCTCCTTTCTATGTATATTCCAAACAATTTGGGACAAACATATTCCACTACACCTAAAAGCTTCCTTATATTGTAAGTTTCGACAGCTTCTTTAGAATTTATTTCTTAATCATTTGCCAAATCTAGAGTTCAGTCATACTACAAAACCTGAATATATGAACCAGCTTTTCTTTCCACCAACTAGAAAGGGCAATATTAATCCTCACTAATTCATTAGATGCCACTCAGACCACAATCCTACTCCACCTGAAGTTACAGCTATTCTTTGACTCTAGTGCTAGCATTCACGTGCTCTTCTGGAATACGAAATGTGCGTGGTTTTCTCAGAAAGACAGACAAAAAGCAGGTAAGTTATTTAGTGAGATTTCAGAAATTCTAGCACAGAATACCAAAAACACGCTAACACTACAATATATTCCTCAGACTATGGTAGCCTTAAAATGGCAACACAAATCAGCAGACAAACCAAAAAAACAATCCTGTTTCATGTTTTGGTGTCAAATGCAATGACTTCTTGGGAGCAAGACATTGTAAATCAGCTTCTAAAAGCAATACTGAAACCAATGGATTATTTTGCTACTATAAATGAAAGTATAGTTGACAGTTGTATTCATCAACAGAAACTGAGGTGGCCAGACATCATCATCCCCTAATATTGATCAGGGAATGCATAGAAATAACTGAACAAAACATCTACAATGCTCGTGTACCTCCTTCAAATCAAAGCAAGCAGACAAAGATTTTCAGGAAATAAGTTAAAATAGTAAAACTCCAAAGAAAGAACATGGTATGGTTTTAAGAATACCACTTTTATTTGCTATTGAATAAGGAAATTCAAAGATTAGTAAACATGTTTTAAAATTAATTCAAATGAATGGTGTATTTGACTTAAAATATTGCTTTTTCTGAGGTTTGTTAATTATGCTTATACAAAGATCTGGAGTAAAACGGTAACTTCACTATGCCTCTATTTAGATTGGGTGAAAAGCTGGGCACCTCTCTTAACTCTTTAAAAAAACAGACTCTTAAGACACTCCGAGCAAAATCTGCCCTTGCACAAAACATATTAAACAGGAAATTTAAGACCAACCTTTTAAGAGTCACAAGAGTTCCTAATCTGCACCTAGATTTCCAGTCCTTTTTGAAATATGAACCAGTTGTAAAGAATCTGAGGTCACTTCTGCAGAACTGCTGCACAACAATTTTACACAACTTAGTGCTTCATTCTAAGTTACTACATTTACTAAATGTAAGACATATTCCATTAGTGAACTTCTTCAGAATTATTTGAACACATAAAAACATAGCACAGTGATTTCTTTTACTATCAGACAGATTCAGACAAAGATTTAAAATAGCCTGAAAAAGGTTAAATACTCCCTGAAGCTATTTTAAGAGAAGAAATGTGTGTTACTTGTCTTGCAATATATGCTACATCTACATTTAACATTTAAAATGTTTTCCGAAGACAGGATGAGCAACCATTTGAAAACAGGAGAAATCAAATCAACTGAAGTGACACAAATCTGAATTAACAGTCTTTCCAGATGGTCTGATTAATAACCAAAATGAACAGAGAAATTGCTTTTGCTGTGTTATTTGATTAGCCAGCTTTAGCTCTCTACATTAAGGAGCTCAAATGCATGGTACTTTACAAATAATAAGGAAGGCCAAGCTAATCAAGGGTGTATGGGTCAGGATCAAAGAGAAGGCCAAAGAGGATGTCATGGTTGGAATCCAATCACTTAGACTAAGATGTAGTCTTTTTTACAAAAGCAAAAGAAGCTTCCCTATTGCAGATGCAGGCCCTGGTGCTCTTGGTACCTGAGCTACCCTGACACCTGCTCAAAGGGCAACACAGCAACAGAGATTTCTAGAGTATGCTAAAGACTATTTCTCCAAGTTAGCTGGATTAGCCACCTCTGAGAAGCACTCTACTGGAACTGCTATCCATGCATATGCAAGGATCTTTACTTCTAAGGTGAGTGAAGGTCAATAACAGGCTTGGCTGCACAATGAGAAAAGATAGTTCAAGATCCTAGAAGAAACAAGGATGATGACTAAGAGAATAATGACCCTGGACTTTGAGAGAGGAGACAGCAGCTTGTTCAGAGATCTATCTGCATGGCAAAATCTGAAAGCTCAGAAGCTTACAGAAGTAGTTACAGAAGGCTCAGAAAGGGATGGCTGGATCTCTAGGTGGTTGAGGGGCAATTGTGTGAGAAATGCCCAAACTTTACAGATGACTGGAGAATACTGAGGTCCATATGAGTAATACTGTACGCGGTATTTCAGATCTGACAGCACCTGCAGCTACCTACTGCTTTGTAACACTGAACTGTAAGCACTACTTACAAAATTAGCTGGGTACTAAGTTGTGTTTATCAGACATTTCCCAAATAACTTGGCTTCAACCTGCTTTATCTGTTTCTATGTACCAATACAGGGATAAACACAGAAAAATATGCTGCATTGCTCCTGGAAGACATGATGAAAATCAGAGAGGAAATTACCTTCCTTGGCAGCCCCTTAGAGCTGTGACTAACCTGTTCATGCAGCGCACTCACCTGTTAAGGTCTGCCCTGGAGACTGATATATATGTTAGCAATTAATAAAATAAAGTGCCTGAGAAGTAAAACAGTTCAAATCCTTGCCTTCTATTTACCTTGTCTCCTATCCAGGAGGCCAGACTAACTAATTATTCCTTTCCACCTGGTTGTTTGTCTATATTTTCTTACGTTTTCAAAGCTGTCTTTTGCAATAAAAAGACAAATTTCTCTTTCATGCAAGCATCGAGATTCTTCTTCACCAAACTTAAAGGCTGCCTGTGATAACACAAGGCCTGTGCAAGACTTCCTCCAGCAAATTATTCTTGATAGCAATTTGTGAGGAGAGGATACAGGAGAGAATACTAATGTCTCACAGCTTAAAAGCGATGTCTAGAATACATATGTGTATAGAAATGCAAACACACACTTTTTAATTTTTATATTACTTTCTACATAGAAAATAATTTTATATAACAGATGAAAATAAAAAAGACTGCTGCTTTGCTGCAGACTCAATCGACAGAGCTTAAGAGAATCTCAGTGTACAGACAGGCCAGGCAAGAGAGCAAGGGAGATGGTGCGCAACAGCCTGACAGACTGAAATGCAAACCTGACAGGGGCATTAAGCAGCCTGTTTTCTCTGCAGGATTTTTAGTGGAGTAACATCTATCAAGGTAGCAGTAAATCTCCACAGAAAGGCTGAAATACATTTCAGAGAATACACCAGAAAGTAAAGGGAAGAAAGGATTCTCATTCCAGATTTTGCCATGAGTTTATGCGTTTGAACATACACCAAGGTTGCTTCTGAATGCAGAATTCAAACATACCAGACTTTGAGGGCCTTCTGGATAAATTAAGCTGACTGATGAGCTCTATCAGTGGATGTGCACTGAATTGAAAGCCAGGGGACTGCAGCGTGTATTTAGGTAGACTAGCAGTCTGGAGAGTGGGGAAGAAGAGTGCCAACAAACTGTTCATTTAGAGCAGAATCTCAAAACTATCTTCCAGATTTATTATCTTCTGACTTTTTGATTACACTTCCATATATTTCACAGCATTGACTAAACCTTTCCTGTCCTCTCTAAACAACTGTCTGTTTTCTTCCCTTTTAATACAGGAATGACTTATTAGTAACTTTGCAAAGTTGAGATTAGAATTTACTTTGATGAAGGACTAAATCCCGGCACAGAGGCCTGAGAAGAACATAACTGTAGACTACTCTGTCCACATCAGTAACAGATACGAGATGGCACGCCAAGCTGAAAGAGGCACTGGGATTCCAAAAATCCTGCATTGCCACCATCTGTCACTTGGTTTCTTAACACGCTGGTTAAATTTCTGTGGTCATCCCTCTTAGTCCTAATCTCTTGCCACTACCCCTTACATTCAGCATAGTAAGGCCTACAATAAGGTTTTAAAGATGCTGACAAATCACACACGTGAAGGGGCAGGCAATGCACGCAGTGAAATTTTTCAAGTTTTTGTTAGTTCTCCTTTTTAAAAATTTCTCAGTCTATAAAGTAAGAAAGCATCTTTTATAATAGGCTTATGTACCTTAAAAACCATAATCATGTTAATTGCAGCACAGCACAGGAAGACCAGGTGTTCTACAGTCTAGTAATCTGTCACATTTTAGTTCATTATGCCACGTGCTGACAAGGTTGAAGATTTGTCGTCTCTGTATGAAATTCCAGACATAAAATTAATTTACCATGCATCTTTGAGAACCTTCCTGCTCCCTTCTGACTACCCTATGTCCCATGAGATTATTCGAAAACTTCACATCTTAAAACAATCTCAAATGGTTGTCATCTGTAAAGTCAACCTGTCAGAATTAATTTCCTTCCCATACAAAATGTGGAATGGTTCACACATACGTACGAAAACAGACACAGTAAAATAGATGCTATTCAGTCCAGTGCAGATGTTTCAGCACACTGAATCTTCTGAAAAGTAATTTATGTCCAAGGAGCAATGTCCCAATCACACTCAAAATGAGACTGCAATATACCATCTTTAGATACTCCAATTTCTTTTTAAATAATACACCTTACAGGTTGGCATTTAGTTATGAGGCTGAAGGGTGAATCTGAAAAAACAAAACAAAAAAAAACCCACCAAAAAACGCCCAACCACCCTATTGTTCTCTATCCTTTTACTTCACAAGTTTTGTCTTCTACGGTATATAGCAAATGTACCTTCTGCTGTAAGTCATTTCTTTCTGTAGAGATAGATTGGTTTTACACATAATTTCTATTTAGAATGTCTTTGAAAATATGCAAAAGCACAACATAAATATGGAATTGTAAATACATTACAAGACTGTCCAATTCTGTACATTAACATAGTCAAAACAGCTATTTAAAGCTATCATACACTGCAAAACCACTCACTCTACAGTTTTCACTTTCCAAGTTGATCATACTTACAGGGCATATTCTGCTAGAGGCAATTTGAAAACATCAAATACTTCCTTATTCTTCATCAAGTAAACTGAACGCAAGTAGGATACAAAACACTGAAAGAAAAAATAAAAGTCTTTCACAAAATAAGAAACCATTCAATTATCAACACATGAAACTAACATTGTATTGTTGCTCTAAACGCAAAATAGAATTTCACTATTAAGTCATTTAACATTGATTTCAGACTGAAATTCTTTTACACAATACCCATCAGCCAAAATTTATCAGTACTACAGAAGTGATGCAACTTCAAGTATTCAAATATTTCATTAAATGCACATCAATTGGCTGAATTTCCCAATGGTATGTCATGTTATTTTACCTAGAAGGAAAATATGGCAATTTAGTCAGAAGGAAACATCATCGATTCTTTTTTTTTTTCTCCCAGCTTTGCCAGATGTTGTTATGCTATTCTGACATCTGAATTATGTGGAAGCATGAACAGACTGTGTTGCTATCAGTCTGTCTAAGGTGTCCTGACTTAATCTTAGCCACTAACAGAAAGTGATTCAACTCACTGTAGTTGCCTTTCACTGTGGCCTAAGATAATTTCTATTGCCTTGCATTTGCCACCAGCTCATCAAATATATAAATGCATGAAGTCAATAACTGCAACTCAGTTGACCAATATAAATTCACTATACAACATTTACTAAGACCAGCCCAAGACTGAAGTTTCAATTAATCCCAGACATTTACCAAGAACCTGGAAGCACTGCATAACAGAATAACTTAATCTTGTGTTGCATTTTCCCTCCATCCTTCTCAAAAGGAAAGATTCTTATTCTTCTCATGTTTCTTTTACACAGTCTATTCCTGCCTGTCAGTAGCAGCATAAATACTGGAATATTTTAAATATCAGAAAAGATCCTTGGATTTCTGTTGCTCATAACCTAACCTCTAACACATACCAAAACTCCTACCATGAGGCTTAAACCAACAAACACTACTAAAAATAGCCAATTAAGCTTGTAGGGTTATGTTCAAGCATACTATAATCACACCCTTGTTCTGCTATGTACAGGCACTTGTCAGAGAAAATTATTGTATTAATAATTGTATTAATAATAATCTGGAATTTAGCCAAAAAAAAAAAAAAACCACCAAAACCTGTTCTTGTCAACTTCAGACAGAGTAGGAAAAGACCCAACAGTTAGGAGTATCAATTTCTCAAGGGGATTCTTTAAATGCTTATAAGAGAAAAAACATTTCCAAAGGTGAAAAGAAAAGACAAGACAGTAAATTAAGCAATGTCATAAAAGAATACTTTTCCCCCTGGCAAATTGAAATAAAAACTATTAATTGTAAGATATGTAGAGCTACAGAATATAGCTTTCAAGCTGCCCAACACTTCGTTCTAGAAGTAAATTTTAATTTGCTTATTTTTCCAAATGCTAAGTTTTTTGTTAGATTATGTCTTCCAACTAATTTTAGCAGTGGAAGGTGCTAGCACAATCCATTCAGCTGCTACCAAGAATGAGGTGTGGAATAAAACACTTGTTTGCTCACATTAAATTATTAATCATTTTATGAAGATATCTAGAACCTTTAGGAAAAGGCTTCAAATTTGACAGATCTCATTAATCTATTGCTGTCTAGCAAGCAGTGACAAAAATAAATGACAGTTTATTTTTTCTCCGTAGTGACAGATGGAAAAAAGCAGGTTAAACAAGAGGTATCTTTTCCATGAAGCTGAGAGTTGCAGATATGAAGATCTACACAAGTCATTACATGCCCCAGGGTAGAAATCTCATTCCGCCTGTTGGATAACCTATAAAGCAATCCACTTACTTTACTAGTATTTCTTTGGTACGCATGGTCTAGAACTTAATAAGTGACAGATAAGGGGCAGAAGAAACACACTTTTTGCACATGTATCAAACCCTACAATAACTAAGAATAAACCACCAAAGAAATGCCAGATGTTCTAACTCGCATCTATCAGCTGTCAATAGGGTTCAGCCCCTTTAGACTCCAAACAATTTTTCAAGTTTGTCATGGACTGTATGCAGGATGGTATTGCTCTGTGTTCAAAGAAATGGGCATCTAATTAAGGTAAGAGGCTTCACAGACCATTCCATAGTAATATAATGATGATTAAAGTCTTCAGCTGACCTCATTCTCTGTTATTTTAGGCATTGTGAACACTTGCAGCAAAAGATACCCCCTACTCCAAGAATTTACACCCAAACTAGCAAAGTTAGATACTGCATAGAATTGTTCTACTTTACAAGAAGAGAAATGAAGTACAGAAAGAGTAAATGACTTCTTTGATTTCTTTCTAAAATACTGCCATCCCTTTGGATTTTAGTCAGTTCTCCTAAGACTTGGTCACTCAGTGCACACAGGCTGGACAGCTGAGGGAGAACAAGTTTAGTCAGTCTGAACTTTTCTTCCTGCTCCTTTATCAACTGCTGTTCTCCACTGCTATTTTGATATCACTTTCAAGGTTTTTTGTAAATAACTGAACATTACAAAAATAGTATATGAATTAACTTATACCATTATGGAAAGTGTTATGGTTGGGCATCAGAAATATATTACAGCTCTATTACAATAGTAGCCAAAGGCCCCCAAAACCACCTGAGATTATTGTACAAGTACTAGAAATACATAAGGCAGCAAGTACTATGCTCTACTAATTTGCTACATTTAAGTTTTGATTTATTGATGTATTTCTTAGATAATTGTTTTAAATATTAAAACACACACAATTCGATTTATGTGCTGTTCCGACATAATTCAAAGTCACAGGACGTGACTGGAATCTCAGGCCGTAACACCCTGCACGTCCCTCTGGTGTGATGGAGAATTTAACGGACAGACATCACTTCAGTGTCCCAGTATCTCCCCTCCACAGTAACATTCAAACTAGCAAGAAAAATATATGCTTTTTTAAACTGTTTTTCAGAACTGGATGAATTGATGTATTAAATACTAAAATTACAAGAAATGCCAAAAGGCAGCATCAGTCCATGAGAGGAACTGCAAAGGTTTCAAAGGAGCCCCAATCTGATTCATCCTTTCTTTCCAAGCAACAGCAGAGGAACCATGTCCTATCAAACAAACCATGAAGTTTGTTGAAGCAATCAGTAATCAAGAATTTTCTTTTATCTCTTTTTTTTAAACAAAGTAAAAGCACCTTGAAGTAAATCAACAAGCTTAGAGGACGCAATCACTTAGACCTCATGCCCTCAACACAGTAAACTACATCCTACCTGAACTTCAGTGCATAGCTGTGCTGTTTCACTGCTATCTGATCCATTCAGGTGAGGAATTTATTTCGTACAAATGTCAAGAATTTAGCACCTTGCAACAGACAGGCTAGACAGCACAACGCTCATGCCTGTGAGAAATCCAGCATTCCAGATAAGGATCCAAGGTCAGGATTTCATTTGCATTATTTGTATTGTTTTATTCACATTGATATGCAAGACTACTGGGGCACATTTGCATAGTATGTCTGAACACTCATACTTAATTCTTATTAAGGAGGGACACTTCTGATAAACCACTTGTTCATACCTCAAGATTGTCAAAAACTGAATGTATATACAGTTTGTTTGCAAGATGACACTGCAATGCAACCCATAAACAAAAATCTGCAACAAAATGGGTTTGAAAGGATAATTAAATGTAAATTAAAATTTTTTGAAATTAAAGCTTTTATCTGTAACACTGACAACCATGTTTGATTTTACTCTTGTGTTATTTTTAAACTTCATCATTATCTTCTTTTGCCCAATTCAGAATGATCTTAAGAAGAGATCTTAAAAAGCCAAAGCCAGAAACAGAGAGGTTTATTAGTATTTTCATTCCAAGTAAGATGATGCTGGCTTCCTCCTACTCTCATCCTCCCCCAACCAGCTGCTCTGTCACTTCTGATACAAACTGGTGTAACTGCAACTTCCTGTGGCAGTTGCAAATGATCGTAATACGTCACCAGTACATCTGGCCTGTGCAACGTTAAGATGAAGCTTACGCTGACATTCCACATGCTACAAGTAATACTTTATGCTCTACAAAAACCTGTGATACCTAAACACCAAAAATAGTTTTAAAAGCAGTCCCTTGAACGTTGCCTTAGACATTTTATTCCCACTGACTTCCTCAGGCACTTTGATTTAAGACTCCTTGTTTAAGAAAGTAAGAATGACATTCCCCTGACCCAAGTTAGGTCACGTCACACAGGTTACCTTTGCAGTGCAAAGAAACCACTGTCCATCCATCCCAAAGGGTTTTTAAGGTATCTATGTCAGGATGCATCCTAGAAGTGCCTATTCCTCTCCAACAGCTATAAATAAAAGCTCAGGCAGACTAGCTCATATAGGACATCTAAAGTTAGGTGAGATGAACCTTACCTTAAGAGTTTTATATATTGCAACTTGCTCCATTTTACATCCAAGTTCAACAGAAAGGCTATAACTCTTAGTCTCTCTTTTAAACATTTATGAACCCCTTTTCATTTTACCCTGCCACTAAGGTTTACCAGAATATCTTCAGGTGTCATCAATCCCCACATTAGCTTAGACAAATAAAAAGTTATTTACACTAATCTAGAATTTCTGCAATCTTGTATTTCTCTGGCTTTGGCATTTCTGGGTATCTGATCATTTGGCCTTTGGTAGTGCTCTTTAAATTTTACCTATACGTATAACAAGAAGTGACAGAAAAGACTTTCATAGAATCTCAGAATGGTTAGGGTTGGAAGGGACCTTAAAGATCATCTAGTTCCAACCCCCCTGCTGCGGGCAGGGACACCCTCCACTAGACCACGTTGCCCAAAGCCCCATCCAGCCTGGCCTTAAACACTTCCAGGGATGGGGCCTCCACAACCTCTCTGGGCAACCTGTTCCAGTGCCTCACCACCCTCACAGGGAAGAATTTCTTTCTAATATCTAATCTAAATCGACCCTCCTTCAGCTTAAACCTATTACCCCTTGTCCTGTCCCTACACTCCTGATAAACAGTCCCTCACCATCTTTCCTGTAGCTCCCTTCAGAAACTGGTAAGCCGCAATTAGATCTCCCCAGAGCTTTCTTTTCTCCAGACTGAACAATCCTAACTCTCTCAGCCTGTCCTCACAGGACAGCTGCTCCAGCCCTCTGATCAGCTTTGTGGCCTCCATTGGACTGGCTCTAACAGCTCCATGTCTCTCCTGCACTGGGGCCCCCAGAGCTGGATGCAGTACTCCAGGTGGGGTCTCACAAGAGTGGAGTAGAGGGGCAGGATCACCTCCCTCAACCTGCTGGTCACTATTTTCTCACTATTCTTCCAATTACCTTGTTTCTCTGCATCTCAATTCGAACTCCTGATTTTGCATATTTTGGAAGACACTTGGTACAACTGCAGAATTCACAGGCTCATGATATCCACACAGTTTACAAAGAAACCAACCAACCTCAGAAAACAAACATATTGCAGCATTACATTGACGCAAGTAGTAAAGGTCTATCCCAAAGAGTTCAAAGCCTAAAAATATTATAAAACCAGGGAAAGGTCAGCAAATGCGCCAAGTGATGGCAAGAGGCAGTGCAATGCCCAGAAATGTTTCACAGGCCAGCTTCCGTGGAAAGTGTCTTTTACAACCAGCTCATTCTAGTCCAGGAACCTACCTAGTTATTTTAAGTTTTTCTACTTTCCCTGAATCTACTAGAATCTTGGTGAAATTCACGTATTGTTCATGGAGTCTTCCAACATTAATCAGCACAGCAAAAAAATCCCATTCATAGTCCCATTCACGTACTTCTCCATCTTATCTGGAAAAGCTATTTTCCTTCTCTTTAAATTCAAATGGAAGTTAAAATGCTTTATTCAATGCATTGGATTTTACCACTGAGAAAGGACAAACTGTCGTTTATATTCAGGAGCTACAACAATAAAAATTGATGAAGAAAGGGGGCATGTGAGGCCTACATGGTTTCATATTTTTAATTTTTTTAAGCCAAGGAATAAGATGTGCTACTTTTCAGTAACCTTTTACTATTATTATTATTTCAAAATGTTCTATATCACCTCCCCAAGAAAAGTCCTCTCAGGAAGAATTACCAATTTACTTATCTACCTCCATTCAAAAGGGTTACTGAACTGAAAAGGGTACACAGTCCTATTCTTCATTATGCCACCAAGGATACATGATGAAAAAAAGATGTACTGATTTAACAGCTTTATGGTTTACAGAATCACAGAATAGTTGAAGTTGAAAGGAACCTCTGGAGATGACCTAGTCCAGACCTCTGCTCAAAGCAAGATCAGCTAGAGCAGGCTGCTCAGGAATTCACCTAGTTTTTAATATCTAACAATGGAGACTGCACAACTTCTCTGTGCAACCTGTTCTGATGTTCAACCACCCTCACAATAAAAGTTTTCTTGGGTTTAAACAGAGCTTTTTTGTATATAAATTTGTGCCCATCACCTCCTCTCCTGCAACTGGGCACCTCTCAGAAGACTCCGACTCTGTCTAATTTATACTTCTCTCCTAATACAGGAGATAGTCCAAGTGCTCAGTCATCTCTGCGGTTCTTCATTGGTTTTGCCTCCAGTATGTCCATGTCTTTCTTGTACTGGAAGCCTAGAAACAAGCTTTGCGCTCCAGATGTGTCTCACCAGGGCTGAGTAGAGGGGAAAGGAAGGAGCACTGCCCTTTACCTGCCAGCAATGCTCTGCCTAATGCTGCCCAGAATGCAGTTGGCCTTCTTTGCTGCAAAGGCACATTGTTGGCTCATGTTCAGCCTGTTGTCCACTAGGACAATCTGTTGCCCCAGGTCCTTTTCTGAAAAGTTGCCTTCCAGCCATTTGGTCCCAGTCTGTACTGGTCTATAGGGTTCCTCCTTCCCAGGTTCAGGTCTCAAACAGCTGGGAAAGACTCAAACATAACAGTAAAACCCCTCAAACAGTTGAGAAGCAGACTACTACATCAAAAATTACTTTCATACCCAAGACTCTAAAATAAGTATGTCCTCATCTATGCCTTAACTTTGGCACAACAGTAGTAGGTCAGGTGGCTCTCCAGGCATTAGGATCATGAGCCCACATTGAGCCCATGCCGATTCACACAGGCTATACAGGCATACTTACCACTAACTGCTAATGCGTGATTATTGTTTCTACCGATGCCATGTTTCAAAGCTTAAAAATCAGAACAATTTAGCAGTTCCAAACACTGCTGCTAGGCCATATACGAGCAGGTCAGTTAATCCAACAGCAGTTCTATTCAAGTAGCATGCCTCAAGAACTATAGTGCAGTAGATGACTTACCCTTTGAGCTTTGTCTTTTAACTCCTGATCTTGAGCTAAGAAAGCTTGCATCCTCTTTTGGATGTCTGTAAGTTTTTCAGGATTAATTCTAAGTTTAAAAAAAAAAAAGTAAGAAGAAGAAAGTTAGCTTTAATTATTAGAACATGCAAAAATAAGCACCTAATAAGTTCTCAGGAGTATCTTCATGTCTTTTGCTTTGCTTTAATATGCATCAAGTTATTCTGACTATGAAAGAGCTTAGAATGGAACCATATTAAGGATGAAGCATACACTCCTCAAACAAATAATACAGAAAAGACAAATGGGAGCTCAGACTTTTTTTCCAGAGAGTTTTCAGTGAAGGTGGTGAAACTTCTTCCAAAGCCTAAATCAGCAGTAAAAGAACTTCTTGGATTAATGAAAAAAATATAAAAGAAGCATAATGAATTACAGTGCTACTTTATACTGAGATAGTAGTCTTCATAAGGAAATTCTCAGCATTTTTGAAAGCTTAAATAAGATCCAGTGCCCTGGGAATACAGAAATTTAAGTATTTCTTTCCTACAGCCAGATGAGCAAAAATAAGATTAAATTGAGATTAAACAGATTTAAGATCTCCTTCAAGATATTGATCAGGTGAATAAAGAACAGTGACTGTATTATAGAAAATGCCATTAAACCTAGTAAGAAGATATGGAAGTGCTCTCCCAGACTCTGGATTTTTACACTTATTCCAGTGATACTTACACTATTCCAGGTTTATTTGCCCAGATCTTTTCTTAACTACTTCTGGTTTTGATCTGCTAGTGCCACCCAAGTGTATCATACAACCTACCAAACATGGTAGGAGGGTACCCCTCAAGTAGAGGTCAAAAGAGATGCACAGCTACCAGATTTCTTAATCTGGTTCTTGCTGCTGTGTGCCATGTCATCTCATACTGTACAACAAAACATAGCCTTTGCTGAAGGAAGTCAAGGAGAAAGAAAAAAAAAAATCAAAATCATGCCTCTTCACATAGCAGTATGACAGTCTAAAAAACATGACTGAATAAAAGACTAGGCAAGAAACATTTTATAGTCATTTTTTGTAAGATAAGCCATTATGATCATCCACTATTCTTACTAAATATGAAAACAGCAATTAAGCAAGGGGTTAGAGGGTATTACCAAAGAATAATTTATAAAGACATCAAGCTTTATTCCTTCACCATTTCAATTTCTTATCTCTGTCAGATACAGCCAGTGGAAAATTGTAGTGCATACAAGCTATTTAGCTACAGTTTTAGTGAAAGATCAAACAGCTGAGTTCCAGTTTCAAGCCAGCACATAATTTGCTCTGAAAGTGTAAAGACTTAAGAAAGAAAAGAAGAGGCATGAAAAATTCAGTGGGGGACAAACTGACCAACAAGTGTTTGAAATGGAATGCAGGACGGAATGCACACAAGATACCAAAGATAGAAAAAGTAAAAAGAGAGAAGGCTTTTCTAGATTTTATTCTATAAAACAGGATTGAAAAGGTGATAACGAAAATATTTATGATCCTAAGAAAGGAAAAATGGTAGAATAGGAAAATAAAAGCAGTGGCTTGCTTAATTCCAAATTGTATTAGAAAGTACAAAGTATACTATTTCACTGCAGAGGAAGACAGGAGGAAGAGTAAAAAGGCTGGCTAGATGAAAACAACATGTTTACAATGACCTGAAACTCAAGAAGAAAGTTTAAAGTAGAACTGAAGACAAGTATAACAGCAGCACAAATGCACTGGGATAAATAAGAATTACAAGCACAAATAAGATACAAAAAGTAAAGAAGGGATAGCATGAATAACAACAACAAAAAATATTAACATGAACACCAGTAGTAAGAGATCCCAGAGAAGTACTGGATTGCTGTTAAGTTACGGGAAAGCTATTAAGAGATGACCTCAAGGCCCTTAAATTAGCCAGTGTCTTTTTTCCCTTGTCTACGCTCCAAGTGGCAGCTGCACTCAGACAGCTAACAACAGCTACAGCACAGTCCAAGCTCACTCCAGAATCACAAATCATAGGACAAGTACTTAAGATGAATCAGCTGGGTCAAAAGAAATTTGCTCCATAGCAACTACAGAGAAAGTCAAAGCACTTTGAGTCATAGTTGTATCTATTCTTGAGAACTCATCTGAGATGGGTAAAAATCTGAGACAAGGCAGGTAAATATAGTGCTCATCTTCAAAGGGTGCAAAAAAAGAGAAGTTAAACAATTAACTTTTTTCTTGACACCAAAAAAACAATTTGTAAGTGCCTAAAGAAAATAAGCAAGCACACAATGGCCAACATAGCTTAGTCAGAAGCAAAATATAACTAATCAGTTTGATTATCCTTCATAGAAGCATTAGCAGGCTTTAAGAACAGGAAGGAAACGGCAGATGTCATATTTGATGTCAGCAAAGCATCTGGCAGTTGCACATTCTCATAAGCTAGGGAAACATGGTCCATATGAAATCTTTTAGTAAGCGCAAAAATGGCCTTGGAGCTGTATTCAAAGAGTAGTTGGGACTGTCAACTATTCACTGTCAAACTCAAAATGCATGCCAAGTTCTAGTTCTCACCTGGGCCCGCTATTACTCATTATTTTCTATGATTTGATTACTGTAGGAATACGATTCCTTATTTATAGGAGTCAATACATCATTGGGACTACAAGAATAATGAACAATAATCTTAGACAAGATGACATTTGACTGCACATAAATCTTAGTTTGAGTAATTTGGTTGAGATTTGCAAGAAAAGGGTTTGAAAAAGACAGAAAACACAAGATACTTTACAGTTAAAAGCATGGCAAGATGATGTGGTGTAAATCTAAGCAATGTCAACCAAGAATTTGGTGCCCCAAGCACATTTTGAGGTTGTGTGTTTGTTAATGAATGACTAAATTTGCAACACTGGATATTAAAAAGAGTTGTAACACTGGATTCTCTCCTCTCCAACACTGTATCATGACAACCACCCACTGTCGTCTTCGTCTCATGCTGGGATTCCAAAAATAAGAAAGCTGGTCACTGTTAAATTGGATTTTGGTTTTAATGAGTTTGCATGGTTTTGGGGTTTTTTTAACAAATAAAACTCTTTACAATAATTACATACATGTGACTATTTGGCGAGAGAGACAAGCCTAAACTATAAACACTTAAATGAATTATCACTATTTATAAGCTTGCCTAGACAACTAAGAGCCAGTGAGCTAGAACCAAAGACTAGAAGGGGATTTTATGGCATTGTCTGTCATTTTAACTAGGCTGCTTCCTTCTTTTCTTACTCTGTGAGAACAAATCTTGCATTTAAGGAGCAGTATAACTTTTTGAAACTTGTTTTGCCTAGCAGTTGCATAAATAGCCACACTTGAATGTGCCACGATATAAATATGAACTCAGCTTGCTTGGTCTTACGAAGTGATCAAATGTGGCACTCCAAATTTCCTGGTCCATATGCACTCTGCTTTCCCCTCATTTCCCCTGTTTTTAACACCAGGATATAAGCACTGCTTTAATTAGATATTCTCTCTTCCCCATCCCCTCCAAAGCAGAATTTAAACCACAAAAGCTCAACAACCACCAAAAATACCATGCTGCCATCATGTAGCAAAACAGTTTCCATATTCCAGCCAGCTTCCAAGCAGCAGCAGGTGTTGCTCTGTGCTCTCAGCCTGGAATGTGGCTCTCTGGTTACAGTGGACAACCTGGAAGGCTGGAGTGAGGAGGAAGATCTGGGACCTGAGGACAGCTGCTCAGAGTTGCCAGCCTCACACCAGCAGATCACATGCAGGTGCATAACCACGGTGGTTAATGACACTAATGAACTGTTCTACAGTAATTATGGTAATTGAGAGGCAGCAAGTTCTAATAGATTCCCTAGTATTAATATTACTGTCATATGAAATATATATCCAAGTATTCTCCATTGTCAGAAAAAAAAAAAGTGTTTTGTTGTTGTTTTCTTCAAGAACTACATTTTTGTCATAATATTAAAGAAAGCATTATTACATTGTGGGTATCTGTATACTTGTACTTCCTTTGGTAAAATTTTCTAGACACAAAATTTGTCACAGTAACGCCTTAGGAAGCATCTCTTATCATGTTACTCAACAAAACTGGGTACCATGAATTAGTCTCAAGGTATTATCAAAAATAAGTTCAGTTTACAGCTTCCATCTAAAACTTTGAAATTATAGACGCCTTGTAATATTTAGTACTTTCAGAATAGCTTTTTGCTATATTTGAGTGCTCTAAAACATGATATTTACTATCACATATTTTGCATTTTCTCTTGCTCTGTTCGAACAATGAAAAAGAGATGTATTCCTAAAAGCACTCCCTGTAAATTGGCATCTTGTGCTAATTAGAAAGGAATGGTACACTATCAGGCTCTACAAGGAGCTTAGATTTAAAACTGAAAATTAAGAAAACAGCCTAAACCCTAGCCTTTTGAATAGGTATTCAGGAAAAAAGTTATTCTCTCTCTGCTTTCAAATTATGGAACTGTTTTAAAAGCTCTGTCTACATGAAATACAAACAGCTCTTAACATTTCTTTAAGTCAGAAAATACAAAACAAGGAAAGTAACAGAAAACGAGTTCTTGCAATCCCTACACAAGACAACAGGTTAACAAGGACAGCAAAACAAACGCTTTAATTACAAAAAGCTTTCAGAATGAGTTTCAGAAGTTCAAAGAGTTAAACTCTGTTGGCAGTGAGCAACGCTCATTACCTACTAGCTCACAAGTTAAATCAATTCTTGATAACCTATAATTAGGTAAATATACACAAACACCACCAGAAGACTTCAACAAAAGACCTGGAACATGATCCATGGGTTGATGGAACTTCTTCAACAATTTATCAACTGTCAAAACATACCAGGGTTGTATTAATTGGGAAACTGGCTAGAAGTTTCTAAGTAAAAGCATTCCCCTTCATTAAGATGTTACAAATACTAATAAGGTATGTTTTGCAGATTGGAAAACTGGATCTCAGGGCAGGCTGTTAAAATATATTATCTATCAAAAGCCCTGACTTTGCTTATAATTATTCCAGTTAAGATTGTTACCTAAATGTATTTATTACACGTATGCCCTAGTGGCTCGGTAAAAGAATGAATTTTTCGGGTGGTGTTTAAAAAAAAAAAAAATAAACAACCAAAAAACCTTACTGTAATGCATCCTATTATTGAATTTACAATTGAAAAAGCTAATGAAGTGAAAAAGATTCTCATTTAGTAGATTTTAGTAATGACAAATCCCAAAGTATGTGTTCACTTTATTTTTTAACTCAAGTTTCGACATAAACATACATGGAAAGTGTAACAAATAACAGTTAACCTTGTAAGTAGTGGCAATTTCTTACCATCCTTCGTTACACTAGAATTCAAAGAATACAGTATAATTTTGAGCAGACCTGGAGATTTGACCAATGAGGTAATAATAATCACTTAAAGTTCCACCCTATTTTGATTTCTTCTCAAAAACAATTATTCCACAAACATTTCCTGCATACAGTTAATTGTCTTCTTTGCTTAGATATTCATATCTTCACCTTCAAATCATAGCTTTTTAAAGAGAGTTCTAGCCTTACTCATACCCACTTGTAGAGAAACTTAATTTCCTACCTTGTCATGCTTCTCTGGATTTCTTCTAGCTCCACTCTACGATCTTTGGCATGGTGTAACCTGAACTATATGAACATTCAAAATGGAGTCAGGTTCATACCATATTTTCTGGCTTGCTTTCAATTCTTCTTCCATATTTCCTTCACACTATGTTTCCTCTTTTGATTCAGTATTAGACTCACAGGCTCAAAGAACCATGAACTTCCTCCTACCTATAGCTGCTAACCAATTCTTTTAGTGCTGTGGGGTTTTTTCCTGTTATTTTTGCAGTTAAAGGTTTTTGTCTTTCCTACATGTCCATTATTCTGCATTTAATAGAAACTGGAAATACAAGTGCTTTTTTATTTTTACATGGTATCATTATATGCTTCTGCAACTCTTTCAAAGTCAGTTCTCTTTTGTACAGATTCTACAGGTCTCCATCGAAATACTCTCTCTAGTATGTAAAGTGACCATTTAGCCACATCTTTTATTTCCTGTTCTTCAACTAACTGATTCAGAAAGATCATAACAAATTGGGGAAATAGTCTAGAACTAAAGAAAAGACAGGTAAGAGAAGTAAGAATGATAACAGGTATAGAAACATACAAGGACAGATTAAAGAAAACTGCAAAAGAGAAAGTGATAACATGATAATGTTCAATTACACAAAAAGTAGTTGCAAAGAGCAAGAGAATGCATAATTTTCCATATATTCTTGGCACAGGACAAAAGAAATATTTCACTTAAATTACTTACAAGGTTTATCAGATAGTTGAAGAAAAAAACCTAAATTGCAGGAACTGTTGAGTATAGATGAGATCACTTTGGGAAATTGTGAAGATATTGGCAAGTCAGACAAGCATCTGATAAGAATGATTTGTGTAGCTGATCCTGCCTTTCGGAAAGGAGATGGAATAGGTAACCTCTCAAGGTCTTTTCCTTCCTACAATACTATCAAAATCTCCCTTGTTTGTCCAGCTCCAGGCAATTCAAGCACTTTACTCCATCAGGATTGTCATAGATTCATCACACATTATTCCTGCAGAAAGAAGGCTGAGTAACGGACAAACTATTAGTCACTTACTTGATTTCACTGACAGGTACCTTCCTCTGTGCCAGCTGTTCCACCATGCCTTTTTCTTCTGAGGGAAGCAATATTAACAAAGCTTCACCACCTTCTTTGTATCTGATCAGGGGGAAAACCACAAAAGAGAGACCTCAAGAACATGCAAACAATACAATTTTTTGTTGATGTTTTCAACACACAATGAGAATTTACATTTGCTTCTTTATAAGCAGCCCAAAGAGCAGACAAAAATCCTGACTTTACAAAGGGAAAAGAAAAGGCTAACCAGTTAAGTGACTTGCCAATATCTCCACTTGAGCTGATTTCAAAACTACACGTAGAGCCCTAAACATCTGGGACTAAAACATAGATTCAGATCAGTGAATCTTTTCCTTCCTAGATTAGAAATATTTCTGTAGTAATCAAATGGCACTTGATCACAGCTTACAATACTAGAAGATCAGCTACTTGCATTCATCCTTTACCAACAGGCAAGTCTTAACACCTGATAACAACTGATTCTCCTTTGCGCATCCTGCAAGTGAAAGAAGGTAAAGGCTGGGAAAGGATAAGTAAGTGCCTTGATCCCAAACAACAACTCCTACTTGCATGTTCAATAAAGGCTACTTTTCTAACAGGTCACAGAGGCATCACTGAAAGAAAAGCATAAAAACAGGAGTTCTTTCATTTATAGAAGCAGTTTTTAAGTACAAAATAAAAAATAAAATCAGACTGATCCCATAAGAACATATCTAGTATTCACTCTTCACTGCACTTAACAGCTGTATCAAATGTAGCTGACTTGGTAATTACTCAAGACACATGGTTGGCAAAGAAATAAAAATTCTTCTATTTTATTCTTAAAGCAATGTCATGTTCACTTTCTTTTTGTTTAAGAAAATGTCAGTTCCTACTTTCAGCAAATTTAACATGTTGAAGACATTCATGGGGGAAAAGTACCCAACAACATTAGTAAACAAAAAAGACAACAGGTTTAAGTCCTACTGCAAAGTAGTAACGATCAGTTACCTTCTCTGCATTAACTAAGTCCCCATCTATTGTAAGATGTATATTATTTCATTTAGATTTACAAATAGTTCTTAAGAGTACAGATTGATAGGAAAATATTGCAGAGTCTTCCATTATATAAAAAAACTTCAATCGAGCTAAATTTCAGAAATATGCCAAAATTGGACAGAATCCAACTCAAAGTCACAGTCAACTGATGAGAGCATTGTGTGGGACAAAGCAAAATAAGAGAGTGGTAAGTTACTACGTAGAGCAGGTCTAACTGACAAGAGCTACTCGCAGGGAAGTCCCTAGGCAGCAGCAGATTGTAAGCCTATACATAAACTGAGTAAATACATAGGTATTCCATTTAGTTAAAACAGAAAATACTCATTGTATTATTTTTCAAGTGTTGTTTTATATTAAATTATTTACTACCTTAACAGGCCTTTGGTTTGGTTCCTACTCCAGTCATATTTGTCTTTTTTTCCTATGCTAGTAAAACTTTTCATCCATCTTAAGTGTATCTGGTTTGTCCTTTCTGTTTTCTATAAGGAAAGTTAACTGTTGCCTCGATCCTTATTCCACTCAGTCTGTTGCCATTTCATAAATCTTCAGCTTCTGTTACTCCATCACACATTCTCCTGTTGGGTCTCTACTCCAATTGCATTCACTCTTCTCCATCAAGAGAACCATCAAGGAAAGGATATTAAAAAAAGGTATAAACTATCAGCAGAAGGGTGGGAGATGTTACTAGTTTGTCTTTGGGTCAGAGACTACAAGACTGTGTAGGTCATATATCTTTCCAATAAAAGCTCAGTAATGACACAAGAAAACACCAGTTCAGTTGTTGTGCACAGAAAAGAGGACATAAGCACTATTTAAGGAAGTATTAGAGTCAATATTCGTTGGCTGAAGACAGCTTTTAAGTTGAAGGCCCAAGAGCGCAGAAGGATGTTCTCAGGCACACCAAACGAGATTCATACCACTACCTGATAAAAATCATTTCAGATGGAACATAGGGAGCCCGCATTTCTCCAAGTATAAACAGTTATCACTTGGCAAAAACAGTACTGCAGAACTGTTTGAAAACTATAAACACTATCTGTCACAGCACAGTAAGCAATGCAAGTAGCAACAAAATCTGCAGTTAGAACAGTCTGACAGCTTTTATTACAGCTCTCTGCTTTCATTTGATGAATTTGAAAAAAATCACAACAAAATGCTCCCGGATGCCTTTTGTTTTCCCCAATGTTATACATGGTGGGTTTGGGGACTAACTTTTAAAGATAATTTTAAAATGTTTAATAAATGTTTTCATAATGAGATTTTAACCCTTCCATTCTAGATTTTGAAATTTTACATGGAAGTCAAATTGATATAAAGAGGAGAGTCTCTGTCACATACCAACACTATGTAATTTACTGGGTTTATATGGTTTGATGAGTACCAAAAGAAATGGCAAAGCATTTGGACTTTGTCCCAAAAAAATACTGCCTTAGGGTTGCGAGTAAGGGAGAGATACTGTACAAAACCTATACTAACTTGATTTTAATCCATTTAATTTAGTAGACCTAAAATGTTCTCAATGCAGAATTATCAGCTTGTAGAATCTTTCTCAAAAAAGAGTTCTAAAGCAACCTATATGCTTGGTTTAAGGAAATTTATTACCTTTACCAACAGCACAGGAGGACATAAGTCACTGCTGATCAAACATCCCATGAATGTTTAGACCCTTTATATAAGAATTAAGGTTGTGAATGACTTGCTTACATAGAGCTTGTAAGAAAGCTCTATATATTTTAAGCCAGCCAAATTCCAGATGATATTTCCAAAAAGCGGGTGAATGCCAGACTGCCACTGCTTGAACAAGCAATGAAATCCTAGAAAGCCACTGAACCTTAGAAGACTTTGCATTTTATGGCAAAAATTTATGATCACAGTTCCAAGGCAGCTAGCTAATTATTTATCAAAAGAACCTGAGCCCTCAGAGCACTGTTGGAAAGAAGGATGAAAACATATCTCTTTCATCTACCCAAGCCTTGTATCAGACAGGAAGACAGAGATAATATTGCTGTTAATACCAGTCCCACTGATTTAGAATACAGAATAAAACACAGCTCTACTGTTCTTTTCAAAACAGATGCTACGAAAGGAGAGGATTCCAAAAAGAGCTATGAGAATGATCCAGTATCTGGAAAGAACGTCTGTTCAGTCTCTTAACAAGAATCTTCCTCATTTGTCAAGAAGACAAAAAAGTGTTGATCACACTATATAAACACCTACAAAGGATGATTTTTTGCAGATTCCTCAAATTTAGTCAAAGGCATGAAGTGATTTGTGTGGTTTTGTTGCTTCTGGCATTTCTTATCATGGAGTGCCTGACGTGCCATTCTTAAATTGTTGCTTTATTATATTTATTTTATTTGTGTGCAACACACTATGAAAGACCAGTGCCATGTGAATCATGGAAGAAATACCCATCAAGGGTCAGAGAGTGCAAATACTCTCTCTGCAAGCCACAAACCCAAAGTCCAGAATGATATAACACAGGAAATATCATTCTACATTAGTTTTGCTTTCACAGCTGTTCCTCAGTACCCTTGAGGTCACTCTCAAAAGAGGATGCAGGATCAGATGAACCTTCCATCTGACCCTTGAATGGGGTTCTTGTGTTGTTAGTGCTAAACACATTATATGCCGAGTCAGTTGTGTTTTCAGAAAGTACAAGTTCAGGAGTTGTAATTCTAAAGGCATATTCCATAGATAATTCACAAACAGAAAACAAGCATTAAATCTGGTATCTATGGATAACAACTAATTCAATGTCTATATTAATTCTTGCAAGCCTTTATACAGACAAAATAGTACTATAGCTAAGTAAAGAGACAATCATACAAAAATAGACTAAGAAGAGACAGAGGTTTCCAAACACCTATACTTTCTCATCTTTTGGCAACTACTAAGAAAAAAAAAAAAAAACAACATTGAAAATATTTCTCAGAGCTGATGCCTTCAGAAACTCAAGGGGACTGAAAGACATTTGGCAACTATTGATGCAGTGTAATCTTTTTCCTTACCTATTCTGGAAACATTCACTCTCTTAAATGCCAATATTTTAAACATACTTCAAGTTAAGGAGGAACAGTCCTTGCTCATTTTTTTATTGCAAATGTGATTTAATTAATTAAAACAGACAGTTTAATATTATTATTATTTAGTTCTTCAGAACTAAACATGAAAATGAAATCATTACAGAATTGAGAAAGCTGAAAACCAAACAATCTTAAGTGTCATCTGGGAAGGTTTGTATCTGTTCAGTGTCCCCAGTGGGTGTTTAGTTAAAGCAAAATGCAAGCGTATAAAAAAAAAGTTTTATTTGGGCAGAGTATTATCTTATTTCTCAAAAAAGAAAAGAACTTAGTAATGTGCTAATAAAATTATGGTCTGAAAGATAACCTCAAAAAGAGAGGTTGCAGTGGAAAATTTAAGTTTTCAAAAGTGTTTTCTCTGTGTCTTTCATACTAAGAGCTTCTATATTGGCAAACTTATGAAAGCACAAGCTACTAAAAACTGGCATAAGCAATAAAAAACACTTAGATCTTCTGCTCAAAATTTTTTTCCATTACAATGCCTAAAACATAGGAAAAAAAGAACATTCCTAAGGGAATGAAGTTCTCCATTAAAGCCAACAAAAGAACATTTCTGCAATTATTTTCAGTAGACAAATAAAACCTCTAAACCTTTACAGATGATAAACAGCAAAGAGTAAACCTCAGCTACTGAAATTCTGCAGCAGGACTACTACTTCTGCAGACGAGAAGACATTAGAAGAAGTTCTCCCCATTCTTGCTGACTGCAGCCTTCAAGTTGTCTGTCATCACCAAAACCAAACATCTGTCCTAAAAGGCTAATTCATTCTTGTGATTTATTCTTCACTAAGTATGCACCTCAACTGTGCTGGAGAAAGATAAATTAAAAACCTCAAAGTAATCAAACTTTCTTGGACTGTGTAATAATTGATGATATTACTTATCTTGTCATCTCCTCAAGGTGATCAAGAAACCAGAGCAGGGACTCATCTTTGCATTGTGATTTTAACAGTCTTTTAG